GGACCCCCCTCCACTGCACCCCACCACTGGGGACCAGGGTGCTGGGTTCCCACAGGTGACATCATGGTGCACGGGCGTGCCAGTGGGGGCACAGAACCCCCCATTTTGACCCCAACTCCCTGTGTGGTGGTCCTGGGGCTCAATAGGACAGGAGAGGAGCAAAGCCTTTGGGCCTCATCCAAGGTGTCCCCAAGGACAGAGGCCCCCCTTCAGCCTGCAGAGTGGGGGAGATCCTCTTGCAAGTGCCCCCAGGTGGGAAGACCCTCCCTCGTGTGTGCGTGCCTTCCCGGCCACCCACCCCCTCCTCCCCGCCCCCTGTCCCGTGCCCCTGAGCCTGGCTGGCTTGTCTCCTTGGAATCCCGGGGCCGCTGGGGAGGGCCCTGAGGCCCCAGGCGCCCTGGGTGGGGCCACGGGTGGAGCGAGAGCCACCTGGTGCTGAAAAGACAGCTCCTCATCCCCGGGCAGGGGCGGCTCCCTGGGAATCTCTCCAGCTCTCCCGGCGGGCAGGTGGTTGAAGTTTCTTGTAACCAAAGGTTTGGGGGGGGGGGGCAGGGGCGGGGGTTACAGTGCAGGTTTAAGAAGGGCTCTCCGGCCCCTGATGCCCCTCCCTGCAGCCCCTGCCACCAGGCTCACTGAATTCCTCCAGGGCTGGGCGTGGAGGTGGGCGTCTCCTCCCCTCCTCCTGGTCCCCCGGGGGCCGCAGGCCTCACCTGCCCTGGGCTGGCCACCAGCCCTGCACCGTCAGCACCTGCGGCTACTGCCCCCACTGCGGGCGCTGCCCTGGGGAGTCCGAGGGGGTGTGGGTTCAGCTCACCTCGCCCCCCAGCGGCAGGGACCCCTCTGCGGGTGTCACCAGAGCCCCGGCGACCCCCAGCCCTTCGGGGTCAGGCTGAGACGTGCTTGGACCTGGACACTGGCCCCCGCCGGCCGCCCCTCGCTCCGGTGGCCCTCAAGGGAGCCCTGGCGGACGGTCGTCAACCCGAAGCAGGGATCGGGGGACCGAGGGCAGGGTCCGGGCCTGGGCGTGGGGCAAGGGAACTAGGCGGACGGAGCAGCTTAGGCCCGGCCCCTGCTCCTTGGTGGGGGGGGCACACGGACTGCACCCCACCGTGCTCGCCAGGGGCCGTGTGCTCCTCACCGCCACGCCGCCTCACAGAGCCGGAAAGGGGGCTCTGGGACGTGGTCTTTTGCTCCGGTCCGGTGGTGTTTGTCCACTCCATCAGCTCGCCCGCTGCCCGGCACTGGGCGGTAGGAAAGGCAGGAGGGGCGTGGCCGTGCCCGATTCTCCCTGCCTCGGCTTCTGCCCCCCCACCCCCGACACACACACACACACGCGCGCGCATGTACACACACACACCCAGGGTGTCTGTCATTGGGTGGGAACAGAACCCACCCTGTCCTGGTGCGGGAACCGGGAGTGACCGTCAAGGAAAGACATGTGTGGAGCGCCCCCTGCTGGTGGGACTGTCCCTCACGGCCCAAGGGGCTTGAGGAGGGGCCTGGCGTGTGGGGGACCAGGGAGGCACCTGCACCCTGGGGTGACCGATGACCTCCGTTCAGGTGGGACGGAGCGGGGCAGAAGTCGGTCTGAGAGCAGAGGTTTCTGACTAGCCCCCCGGGGACACTCTGACTGGGTCCCCTGTGGTGGCTGGTAATCGAAGACCGAGGCGTCGGGCAGCCAGTTACCGCCGTGTTTTTAAGAGAAGACCCTCCCGCTCCGAACCCCCTTTCCCTGTGCACAGCTGAGCACAGTGGGGGGTGTGCCCTCCTGTTAGCCGCAGACCCCGCCCATCCCTACTGCCTGTGCCCACCTGCCTCCTTTGGTCCTGGGGCCCGTGGGCAGTGGAGCTCTGTCCTGACCATCCCGAGGGTCTGGCACCTTTGGCCAGCTGGTGGTGTGGGAAGCCTGTGGGCGTGACCCTCCTCGCCAAGGCCTGGCCCAGGGGGTCTGCCCTACCCCCACAGCAGACGGTCCTCCAAGAGAATTGCCAGGAGCAGGGGCGGCCCCGGCGACCTCCCAGAGCCCCTGCAGTGGGAGCGCGGCACCCCGCTGATGCCTCTGGGTCTCTAGAGGGTGTCCAGGGCTGTTTGGGCTCCTCCTGGGGACTCCGTGACAGCACCGGGGAGGGGCAGAAGGCATGCGGGAGGTGGAGACGCGTGTCGACTCCACGGTTTGCCTGTGAGCGGCCGGGAGATGGGCTGTTGTGGTAGGTGGTGAGCTGCCCGTCCCTCGCAGCATTCAAGCAGGGTCTGGCTCCATGCATTTGTTACGATGTGTCAGATCTGCTGGACCCACTGGTGAGCACACTGGCTGGCCCTGTCCTGGAGCCGACCGTCCAGTGGGGGAGGGTGGCCAGCACACCTGTGAGCAGGTAGACCCACGAACCATGACGGCAGCAGTGATGGAGAATAAGCACGGCCAGGGATGCGAGAGGCGTGGCTGAGGACGCCGTGTCCAGGAGAGGCCTGAACAGCGGGCCGGGCCGGCTGCACGCGGGGTGTGCAGGGAGGTGCCGTGCCAGGGCCCTGAGGCTGGGGTGGGAGGCCGGGGTGGCTCAGCGTGCTCCAGGGCCGGGGAGGAAGGGGGAGAGCAGGGGGAGCCAGGGCCCAGCGACGCCACCCTGGGAGGGCTGGGCTCATTCTCACCTCTCAGCCCGGGGTCCGGGTGTCCAGGGAGGGGCTTGTACTAGAAGCCTCTGTGGCCCCGGGGCCCCTGTTGGGAGGGGCACCACCACCCTCTAGCCTGCTCAAGACTCTGTGCGGCCTCTCTGAGCTGGTCAATCACGCATGAACTCAGTCGTTCACTGGGCCAACATTCCTAGAGCCGGATGAGCTTTGGGGCAGTGGGGCCGGGGCCGGGGCAGGCCGGGCCCCTGACCCTCAGCGAGGCAGCGTGCTGGACGTGGGGGCACAGGGAAGCAGAGGGTGAAGAGCCCACTGGAGGTCAGGGAAGGCTTCCCAGTGGAGGTGTCGTCTGAGCTGAGGAGCCAGCTGGCAGTTCTGGCCCTGGGGCTGCAAAGCTGGGCCGGGGTGCAGCTACAGACGGCCGGACCGGCACGTGCACTGTGTGCTGAGGGCAGTGGGCGTCAGGGAAGGGGTCACTCTCAGACCACAGCTCCCCACCCCCATTTCATAGGTGGGGAGACGGAGGCCCGAGGAGACAGGGCCTGGGGCCACTGTGGTCTGATTTGCCGCCAGCAGCTTGTACCCTGGAGGAGACAGAGGGCCGACGAGGTCGGCTGAGCCCGGGGCCGGCGGCCGAGGGCCAGGCCTGCGTGTGCACAGAGCCTGTCGGACCTGGCGTGCCTGGCTCTTCCCCTCGCCAGCCGGACAGCCGGAGACAAGTCCCTCCACCCCTCGGAGCCCGGCTTCTGCCGGCCGGGTGCTCGCTGCTCTTGGTGACTAGCTCAGTTCTCGGGAGGCGGCATGGAACCTGGCAAGTTCAGGGAGGGCCTGCGCCCCCGACTCTGAGCCTCGGGCTGTCCCCAGGCCCCGCCCCCCACGCCCACCCGCCCAAGCCAGAGAGCCTGGCGTCTGCTCGTCTGGAAGCAGCGCATCTCCAAGGAGGGGCAGGGAAACTGAGGCCGGAAGACAGGAGCAGGGCCCGGGGCTCCGAGCAGGGACGCCCCGCCAGGGGCAGGCGCGGCCAGGCCTGACCACAGGACCGGGCCTGGTGTCCCCCGTGCAGGTGGCCCCTCCCGCTTTCCTGGGTCCTCCCCAGGGCCCAGGGCCCAGAGCCTGGTCGGCAGTGTCTGCCCACCGGCCCCAGCTCTCCCCTTGACGGGGGCCAGAGCCACAGAAGAAGGGGATGCGGCAGGACGTGCGCGGAGACAGGAAGGAAGCTCCGCCGCTGGAGGCTGGGGCCACTATTGTCTCACCTGGGGGCGGGGGCGCCTCGGGGAAGGGGCCCCCCATCCGGCCGCACTGCCTGAGGGGTCTCGACAGGCTCTTCCCTCTCTGGGCCCCACCTTGCTGCCTTCCTCCCCCACTCAGCCTCAGTTTCCCCATGTGTAAAACCTTCGAGGGCAGGAGGTCCGGGCTGAAGTTCCACGCAGGTGACACCGTGACAAGGGTTGTTGTGACCTGGTGCATGACTGCGCCTAGTGCTTTACCTGAACTCGCTGGAGCCTCCCTGTACCCCACGAGCAGAGGGCTCCGGCGGCCCCAGAACGCAGGACCTGCCCGCGGCCCCACTCGGGCAGTGCAGGCCTGGCTGCCCCGCCCGCCGCAGCCAGCCTCCTGCCTTTCTCTCAACAGCTCCTTCAGAAGGCCGATACCTGCCCACTTCTCCCTGCGCGGTGACAGCACCCGTTTAGCTAAGATGGCCAGACCAGTGGACCGAGTACCAGCCTACCAACCCAAGGGTCCCCGGTTCCATTCCCAGTCGGGGCACACGCCTGGGTGGCAGGCCAGGTCCCCAGTAGGGGGCGCGCAAGAGGCAACCGTACATGGATGTTTCTCTCCCTCTTTCTCCCCCCACTCCCTGCTCCCTAAAGATAAAATCTTTAAAGAAGAAAAGGTGGCCAGACGGTAGACAGATGTGCTAGATGGCAGGTATGCAGACGATGGGTACAGGTGTAGCAGGTGACAGGTAGCTGTGACGGGCCATAGGTCGGTGGTGGAGACGCAGACACGCTACACGGTTGGTAGAGGGTAGGCAAGCGCGGTCTGAAACCAGGACTGGGAGACCCCGCCCCCGCCGCTGCTCACTGTCCCCAGCGGTGGCCCTCAGGCCTCCCGGTCACCCCTCCTGCCACGGCGCTCAGGAGGGACGAGGGACGAGGAGAGGAGCACGTCCCGTTTGCAGGTGGGAGAGGGAAACAGGAAGGCCCTCCCCCCGCCCACAGGAAGCCGGCGCGGAGGACGCCGAGGGAGCTCGTTGGGGGGGCGGCTCCGCGGCCCTGGCGAGGGCCAGCTGGACCTTCAGCCGGGCCAGGAGCCCCCCCGCCCCCACCACTGCCCTCTGACACCGCTCTCCCCCAGTCACAGCAGCCAGGCCCTGCACTCTGCTCAGACTTTATTGAATGTGGGGCTGGAGAGGGGGCCCGGAGCCATGCTCCACCCCCTGTGCCCCAGTGCACGGGGGACGGCTGGTGGCCGAGGCCGCTCCTGGGACGCGGCTCAGCAGCCCCCACCCTGGCAGGCTGCCAGGCCCGGCTCCCCTCGGCTCAGCCCCAGCCCCGCCCACACGGGGCAGAGGGAGGACCAAGCCACAGCCCCTCCGGGCTGCTGGGGTCCCAGCGTGAGGACGCACCCTGAGGACCCTGCGGCGGGGAGGGGCGGGGCGGGAGCGTCACCCCCAGCCCAGGCCCCTCCGGGCCAGCTGCACGTGGGCCAGGCGCTGGTCGCTCAGCACCTGCACCCGGGTGACGGCCGCCAGCGGCCTGTGGCGGTGGGCGAACTGCAGCACCCTGTGCTCCTGGGCGTGGACGTGGAAGTGCTGGGCGTCCGAGCTGACCTCCATCTGCGGGCGGGCGGGCGGGCGGGCGGCCGGTGACCCCCACCCGCCCGGGGCCCGGGCCCGCTCCCGCTCCACGCGCCCTCTGAGTCCCGGAAGCACGGCCGGGTGGGCCTGAGGCCCCCGCACCCCACAGAGCCCTGTCTCTCTGGCCCGCCCCCCCTCTCTCCTAGGGGCATGTTTGGGGGGCGGGGGGCTGTCCCATTGCACCCCCCCCCGTCCTGAGAGAGCCGCTGGCCCGTTCACCTGCAAACGCCCCCTGCGGCCCCAGGCGGGGACGGCGGAGTGGCCGGAACCCAGGGACACGGCTTCCACATGGGGCGGGGGGTCCAGGCACTTGCACAGGGCCAAGGCCCCACCCCCCGGGCAGACCCCAGGCTCCCCGCCCCCGTCACCTCAAAGGGCTCCCCCAGAGCCAGCGGGAAGACGCTGGACACCTCCTCCTGGCCCCAGCGGCCGCCCTGGAAGGCGTTGCCCACCATGGTGGCACTGCTGAAGCGTGGCTTGACGTGGAAGGCGATGTCCCCCGTCTCGGACAGGAAGTTGATCTCAAACCTGGGGGCGCGCTGGGGCTGTGAGGGCGGCCGGCAGCTGGGCAGCCGCCCGCCCGGAGCCGGGGAGGGGCCCGGGGAGGGTGCCGGTCTTACCCGTCCTCCGCAGAGTCCGCATGCCCCTGCACCCGCAGGCTCCAGCCCGGGGCCAGGCCCTCCGCGCAGAAGGCTTCGAACTGCGGGCAGACGAGGGGGCAGGTGGGGGTCCCGGGGTGAGGGCCCCCCCCCCCCGCTGGCCCCGTGGGCAGGGCTCCCTCCCTGGCGGGTGCAGGGGATGGGGGTCTCTGCCCGGGGTCCCACGGCGGGGCAGCTGGGCCTGGAAGGAGCCAGGGGACCGGGGAGCCCCTGCCTTGGCCCTGCCTCCTCCCCGCACGCCTGGCCTCACCCACCTGCAGTGCCATCCCCACAGCCTCTGCCGGCGGGGGGCAGAGCTGGCCCGGGGTATAAGCTGGGCGAGGGGCCGGGCCCCGCCCCCACAGCTGACATGCCCCCTGCCCCTCCCTGCCCCACGGCTCCCTCTGTCCCGGCCTCTCTGGCCTCAGCAGGTGCTTCATCCAGGCCCCAGGGAGAGGGTCAGCCAGCCCCCCCGTCCCCCCCCCCCCCAGTTCCTCAGGGCCCGCCTAGCTCTCAAACTTCTCAAGATCCTCGGACACCTGGGAACAGGAGCCAGCCGCCCCCCATTCTTGCAGGAAGGGCGCCCTGAGGCCGGCCCCAGCCCCGCCTCTGCCCCCAAGGACCCAAACCCTCCCGTTGGGTCACGTGACGGGGTGGGGAGGGAGGCGGGCTCACCACCCCTGCCCTGGCCTTCTGGGACCCTGCCTGACCACCGGGGGCCTGAAGCCTGGGTCCCCCACCCCACCCGACTGCACTCCACCCCGCCCAGCACCCCCCCCACCCCCCCGTGCCGTTCTGCCTGGCTCAGCAGCGAGCGGGTCAGCGGCCCCATGGGAGCCCAGTTGGGATTAGGCCGGGCGCTCTGGTCAGCGCATTCCAGAGCAGGCAGAAGTGAGGGGGGCCTTTCCCACCCCCACGTCCCTCCTGGTGTCTGAGCTGGGGCGGTGGCCAGGCCAGGGCCCTTGCAGGGCGCGTAGGCCTCAGGCCCTTTGCACCTGCCTGCCTGCCCCGCCGAAGACCATGGGGGGCTACCGCGGGCCAGCAGGAGGGTGAGCCCAAGGCCGCCTGGCCTGCCCTGAGTCCAGGGAGTGCTGGGACTGGGCGAGCCAGGCGTCCACTGCTGGGTGGAGACACGGGCCCAGGCTCCGGGGGCAGTGCGGGCCAGGGCCCAGGGCCCGTCGGTCAGGGGTCTAGGGGGCAGCCGTGAGCTAGTGACCTCTGGGCCTCAGTCCTCCGAGCTGGTCCTGTGCCTGTCCCCTGGGTGGGGAGGGCGCCCCGGGGCCCTCACAGCCCTGGCTGGGCACTGGGCCATTGCCTCCTGGCTGTGGGGTCAGCCAGGGTGCTGGCAGAGGGTCCTGCAGAGTCAGCTGCCTGGTGCCCCAGCTGGGCGTTAGGGGCCTGGCGGGGAGCTGCACAGGTGGCCCAAGTGCCGCTGGCCTGGAGGCACCCTGGGCTGGGCTGTGGAGGCCTCACCACCCACCGACTCGGGCAGTTCAGTCCCTCTCTGGGCCGAAGCTTCCCAGTCCGCAGGGTGGGGGCTGGTGCTGCAGGTGGCCCAGGGGCCCCCGAGCCGGGAGGAGGAGCCTAGCCCGTTCACACCAGCCTGGGCCGAGGCAGGCTCCACCTGTGCCGCAACACCTGGCCCCTGGCCAGAGTGCACGCCTGGTCCGGCCTGTGGTCTCCTCCTGCCTACCTGGGCTTTGGAGCCTTGTGCCCGAGAGCGGGGGCTGGGAGTGGCCGGAGCGGTCAGCAACTGGGCCGCCAAGGGCCCAGGAGGCTGGGGGACGGAGAGCGGGACACGGAGCCCCATGGAGCTGATCCAGCCCAGCAGGCACGCCCCGGAGCCCAGGTGGGGCCCAGCCTGGCCTGGAGGGCAGGGGTGCAGCAGGCAGGCCCCCACCCTGCGTTGCTGGCCGGCCAGAGCTGGTGCCGGGGAGCAGACAGACCCGGCCTGCAGGCACCGCCCTCCCCTCCCCCATCCCCCGATGTGCCCGGACTGTGGGCTCGCGGAGGCTCTGGAGGAGCAGGAGCGGCAGGGTCTCCGCCCAGAGCCAGCGAGGGTCTTCAGCAGGTGGCCTCCTGGGCTCCACAGCCCACCCTCCACCTGGGACCTCTGTCACCAGGCGGTGCCCACGAGGGGCCGGAGCTCCTCGGGCAGTCCTGCCCCGGGCGGTGCTGACCCCACCGCCGGTGCTTGTGGTTCCAGGTGCTCGGCTAAGCTCCCTCCACTCATCACCGTCTGGGCTTGACCTCCCGCCACTCTCTCTTGCCCTGGGCCCCTGCGCCGAGAGCACGGAACTTCCCGGCTGGCTTGTCAAAGAGGCACCGGCCACTCCCGCTGCGACGGAGCCAGGCCCAGGACACCGCTTGGGGCCAGCTGTCCTCTGGCTGGACGCCTGGTGGCCCTGGTACGGAGTGGCTCATGCTTCGCCCCGCTGCCGGCCCGTGCCCTGCGGGTCAGGCCAGCGGGGGAGGGCGGTTTGAAGGCCCCGGGCCACCGTTCCACAGGCGCGGAACGTGAGGTGCAGGAGCAGAGGGCTGGCGGGGAGACGGCGTGGGCGGCGGCAGGGCCCGGGCTCTGGCCTCTGCTGCCCGGCCGAGGCCGCTGGTAGGGCCGTGGCTGTGAGGCCTGCGCCAGGCCCGGCATCAGCACCCGGGCTCCCCCGCGCCCCCGAGCAGGGTGCTACACCCCCAAGCTATAGCGTGCATGCACACACGCATGCACACACGCATGCACACACATGCACCCTCTGCCGGGTTCACAGATGCCGCAGCTGAAGCTCCTCCCAGGCGGCCACTGGCGGAGCCGCTGCCCCCTCCCAGGACCGCGGGCAGGGCGGAGCCTCCCCAGCTTGGCCCCCAGGGGCAGCGTTTGGGGGCACGGCCCCTGCCTCTGCCGTGCACGGCCGCTGGGTAAGGGCTTCCCGCGCACGGTGCCGACGGAGGGACGGAGGCCGTGTCCAGCAGCTGCGAGTTTCCCTGGTGAGCGGGCCTGGCAGGGTCAGGAGGCGGCCTAGCCTAAATGGTGCCTGAGAGGCTCCAGAGCCCTTGGGTGCTTCTTTGGGGGCTGGGGCCGAGGGGCAGGGCTCCCGTGGCCCTCCCTGGTCCCCACCGTGAGTGACCTGCCACAGCAGCCATCTTCAAGGGAGCTCAACTAGCCCGACAAGCCGGTCAGCACGGCCAGTCTGGGCCCGAGGCCAGGGGAGCCGGCGGCCGGTGGACACCTGGTGTGGGGGGGCCGTGATGACTTCTCCAGACAGGGGCCGGGCTGCGCCGGCCTCACTCACAGACGCGGCAGCAGCTGGACCTGAGGGAGGAAGAGCTGGGAGTCCAATCGGAAGGGAGGGGGGCCGGGGCTCCTGGACCCGGCCCAGATGGGGTGCCGGAACCTCAGGGGCCCGGCCCCTCCCCCAGCAGCAGGCCAGAGCCCGGGGGGACCGGAGGGAGCATGGAACACCAGGCGTGGGCTAGGTCCCCGCTCTGCACTGCTCTGGGCCTGGGCCCACGACCCCTCGGCGTGGGGAAGGGGACGGGGCGAGGCCCATTTCTGTCCCTTTGGCCCCAAACGTCTGCAAAGCACCTGCTGCGTGGCGCTGTTGGGGGCCACACAGAGGGAGACCCGGGTCACGCCCCCCCCCCCGCCCGCCCAGAGTGTCCTCACAGCGTTCACGCCAGGAAGAAGGGGCCCCGGGACGGCAGCTCAGAGCCACGAGGCTCAGCCCCCCGACTCCCGGCCCCGGAGGCGGCCGGCCCACCGGGTGAGTGTGAACAGCACGAGACTGACCGGACTCAGTGCAAAAACCAGGTCAGATGCCTCGTCGGTAGTTTGTGTTGGTTGCGTGTTAACACGGTGTTTAGATTCCACTGGGTTAGATGGAATGTATTATTAAAGTGGACCCATCGGCTCTGTTTTTAAATGTTTGAGCGCGGCCACTGAAGGTTTTGAATCACGTCTGTGCCCCCGGCCGGGGTCTGGGATGGGGGTGGCGGGAGCGGGGGGGGGCCCTCCAGCCTCGGATGGGCGGGGGCTCTGGGCACCATGCCCACTGCCCCCAGGCTCCTGCCGAGAAGGGCCCCGCCCAGGCGGCCAGGGACAGTGCCCTGAAGGGGGAACCGGCGTCCGGGACGCGAGCTGAGGCCGCACCGCGAGGGGGACGGCCCGGGCTGAGCCACTCTGCGTGAGGACCCTCCACTGTGCCCCTGAAGGGGCCGGGGGCAGGCCTGCTCCCACCCAGAAGCCCCCCAGGACGGGCCCCGCCCAGCACAGCCAGGGAGCTCTGGCCCTGCTCCCGCGTCGGGCACACGGGAGGGCAGTGCCACCCTAACCCAGCTCCCGGCCCTGGGCTCCCCGAAGCCCCACCTGGCCAGCGCCGCATGCTTCTCGCCCACTCAGGCCGACCCCGCTGGCTTCCAGCGCTCCCACCCGGACCCTGGGGGGCTGCCGGCCCCAGGACATCCGTGCAGGGTGGGGCGCCGGAGCCCGGGGCTCCAAGAGGTGGACGGAGCCCTGAGGGGGCTGGTGAGAGGCAGGGAGAGGCGGGGGCTGGAGAGAGTTCCGCGAGCACAGGAGCGGGGTTTGGGTGGGCGGTCGGTGCAGGGGTGGGGCCCGGAGGACCCACCTCCCAGCCTCCCCACTCTCCCAGAGGGGAGACAGAGGCTCGGGGAGGCTGGGTGACTTGTGGCCCGAGGACCGTGCGGCGTGCGAACGGCAGGCAGGACGCGCCGCCCGGTACGCCCCTCCCTCTGGGCCCTTCACATGCGCGGCCGCACTCCCGCAGCTGGCACGCGGGTCAGGACGGAGCGCGGTCCTCTGCCCTGGCCCCCAGGGCGTTGGGGACCGTCCTCTGAGCCGCGTGGCCAGCTCCAGCCGAGCCTGTGGAATTTCCCCAGCCCGAGGAGTGGCCGGGGGGAGCTGTGGCGGGCTGACACCTACAAAGGCTGGGGTGGGGGAGGGGTGGGGACACTGAGGCACAGAGGAGCTGCCTGAGCATCCTGGCCCTCCCCCCCAACCCCCTGGGGTCAGTCTGGGATTTGGGGAAGTGGGAACTGAGGGGCTGTCTTGTGAGATTAAAGGGTCTTCACTGTGGGAGCCCATTCATGTCCACATTATCCACCCACCCACCCATCTACCACCCACCCATCATCCACCTACCATCCACCCATCCATTTGTGCAGCATTTAGTAAATGCTCGCTCTCTGCTGGGCACTTGGGGGCCACAGTGGAGGAGGGGAGGAGTCTAGACGAAGGCCCAGAGGGGCGTGGGGCTAGCTTGGAGTCTGCGTGGTCAAGGTCAGGACTGGCTCTGCTGGGTGTGGGGTGCCCCAGAACCACCCC